GAATTTTATCCGCATTCAAATAACTGTATTTTATGCTTTAGCAGCAAAAAGTCACTGAAAAATGATTTTGAAAAAGGCAAAATCATTATAAAAGAAAATTTGCGTGATATAGGGTTAAGTTTTGGGTTTCAATACTATTGTGATGAATCTTCTTTACTGCAAATATTTTAGTAACTGCAAATATTTCAGTAACTTTACTGCAAATATTTCAGTAACTGCTAATAGTTCAATCCTGAAACAATTAATAATATATAATGATAAAAAATGGGATTTGAAAGTTAATGGAAAAATTGTTTCCAAATCTAATTGCAATATACTAAACGATCTTCCGATGCTTTTTACAGTAGAAAATTCTTCACAAATTTTTAGTCAAATTTATAAGTCTAATGTTTGTACTGCAAACAGTGAGTATAAAGAATTAGTTAAGTATGAAGTACCCTCTTTTGTTTTGGGTAAAAACTTTAAAATAGAGACCCAGTATATGGAATCTGTCAATGAGTGTACTACTTTTAGAGACAATTTGTGTCCTATTTTAATTCTAGTTACAACAATTATATGTGATTTTTGTTTGGAACTAAAAACATACTTAAATTTGAAACAATTTCGTTTAAGAAATAACCAGAGCAAAAATTATTTTGATGTTGAACATTCTGAAAGGTCTTCAAGTAAAAAAAAAAGATCGATATATGACTAAAGAGGAGCTGTTATTCAAAATAAAGAATTTAGAAAATAGTAAAAAAAATTAGCAAATAAATGCTATCAGCTCCATCACAGTGTTAATCAGCTCACCAAAAAAGAAGGGCTGATAGTTGATGGCGATACCCATCATGTTTTAAAAGAATGTTTCACTGAAAGATCTTGTAACAACCCATTTTATGAGGATTCCCCACAATATTTATTGTGGGAACAACAAAAAATTCAGGCTAGCCGCTAAAATAAAAGATCTATGAAATGGCATCCAATTATTATTAGATGGTGTTTAAGCATTTATTTAAAAAGTCCTGAGACCTATAAACATCTATGCAAATCTGAATTTATGTATCTTCCTTGTAAAAATACTCTTTTGAAGTACATAAATTTTACAAATCCAGGATGTGGTTTTAATACTGATATTATTTCAAGATTAATTTTAAATGGAGATATTAAAAATTTAAAAGACCATGAAAAAAATGTATCTTTAGTGTTTGATGAGATGAAAATCAAGAGTGGTCTTGTATTTAGTACAACTCCTGGAAAAATAGTAGGCCTGACTGAAATGGGGTCTTTAGATGATGCTCTTGAAGAATTTAAAAACAAAGTTGAGGGTAATAAAAATCTAAATTCGCCAACTTTGGCAAAGTATGTAATTGTTTTTATGGTGAGAGGATTATTTTCATCCTTGTGCTATTCATTTAGACACTTTGCTTCTAGCGGCTTTGATAGTGATCAAATATTTAATTGTGCTTGGGAAGCAACACGTATCCTTGAATGTATTGGATTTAAAGTTCGCTTAATGGTAGCAGATGGTGCTTCTCCAAATCGTAAGTTCTTTAAAATTCATCTTTTTGAGAATTATGAAAATGTCAAGGATAGCAGCGTCTATTGGACATGGAATATTTGGTGTTCAAGTCAGTTATCATTTTTTTGATATAAAAAAGTATTTTATTCTTGGCTACTTTACCTACATGTTGTACCTACATAAAATTTATCATATTATTAAGTCATAAAAAAAGATTAAACTGCTTTTCAAATTTTTAGTTCGCAAAACATACTTTTTTTGTGATGTCCCTCACTTAACCAAAAGTTCTCGCAACAATTTGGAAAACTCCTATTGGAACCAAAAATCTCGAAATCTTATGGTAAGTTTGATGGTGATGATGATCGCTATGATCCATTATCATAGTTGTTATCAGTCAGTTCAAAATGGAGAACCAACTCATTAAATGCTAATCTTTTTGTTGTGATGTTCTGTGATTGGTCTTCTTACAGTTTCCTTAAAAAATATATCTTTATTAGATTGAAGATCAGTTTATGACATGGCCACATATTATGAATGTTTACGAATGGGATCTTGGCATGCTTTATGATGCTGTTGGACTCCGAATGGGACACAAACTCAGAGAAGAGCATAGTCAATTGAATCCACGGTCCCGAATGCGGGTAAATTTAGCTGCTCAGGTAAGGGGGCATACTTTTTTTAATCAAAAGCAATAAAAAGTGTTTTCTTTAATAATCCTTATATCTTTTTTTAAGGTGTTTAGTCAAACTGTTGCACACATGTTGGAGGAGCAAGGCAAACCAAAAACAAAATGTCTTCAAAAGTTTATAAAATTATTTGATACATTTTTTGATTGTCTTAATGTTTCGCAAGCGTTTAATAAAACTAGAAAACCAGCATTAGATGTGTGTAAATCTCATTTGGATGAGCGTTTTGAGGTATTAACAAATAAGTTATTTAAAAAAATTTTTTTTTTAAATGTTTTTTCAAAAATTAATTCATTTCTAGTATTAACATTTGTGTTGATTTATAATAAAATAATAATAGTTAATGAAACTAAAGTACAAACTTTTTTTAAATAGTGGTTGAATCAAACATTCCTTAAATTTTTGAACGAATGGGAAACAAGCCACTCAAAAAGTACCCAATTTATCGAAAGCAGAGAAGGCCAGACTTTGCTTAAGTAAACAAACACTGGAGGGGTTAAGAATTACAGGTAATTGCAAAAATTTGATATTTTGTTCTATATAACAAAATATTCTAATATTTAATATTTTAACTGAAAAAAAACTTATACATTTTTTAGGATGCATCTTTATCTAAAGTTTTATCTTTTATCTTTTAGGGTAAATCTTTATCTAAAAAAACCCTTTTTTTGTGTGTTGGTTTTCACTTAAAAATTTCACGACTTTTCAATTGATTGAAAGGCTATATTAATCGTAGTTTTTTAATTTTAAACACAATATTGTTGTTAAGGAAAAGTTCTAGTTTTTAAATAAGTATTATATTAATACTATAAATCATAGAATCACACAGTCATAGAAATACTAATACTCAAGTACTTCCATGGTTTGGTGCTTCTTAACATTTATTCATAGATTTCCAAACAGTGGCGGATTAAATTTTTGTGTCTTGGGTGATGGGGTATTGTATTGTTAGTATTGATTCCACGATTTTAAGAAAGAAGAAAAAAAATCCTTGATTTTTCAAGGTGCGTGGTGGAGGGCAGCACGCCCCTTCTAAGCTAGATCTGCCACTGATTCCAAAATACTTTAATAGTTAATAAATTAAGTAATATTATAGTTATTAGGGTCAATGTTTAAATTTAAAATTTTGATTCAGTACACTCTTTCACTGAACTTGGTATCGCCCTTTTGCAAGAAGAAGGTGTAAAATACTTGCTTTCAGAGAAATTTTCTCTAGATCGTGTCGAAGAATATTTCTCGAAACAACGAAGAAGAGGAGGCGCAAACGAAAATCCTTCATTAGAAGAATTTAACCGTAATTTCCTTGGCTTAAATATTGCCGGTGATCAACTTATCCGAGCCTTTAACGGAAATTACCGTGGAAATATTCAGGATATTCAAAAAAATTGATGTTACTGACTCGCCTACTCTCCCAAAAAAAAAACGACAATAATATGTTTATACTTTCTATAATATAGTAACAACTTATTTCGCAGTAATGAAATGGATAATAGAATTATATTCGTATTAAGCAAGTTTTTATTAATCAAATGTTATTTTTCAGAAAATATAGGTATTTACTCTAATCTAAATTATTTTAGTTGAGCAAGCATAAAATTAGTGCTAAATTATTTTTTTGTCTATCTTTTAAATTTCGATTCTGTTTATATGAATCAGACTCACTTAGCCAAACATCCTCGTTTAAACGAGATCTCGTCAGGTTTAAGTTTTGCTTATATAAATTCAGCTTATATGTATACTTACATGACAAACGCGCTTACCCGTTAAACTGAGACTTGTTTTATTGGAATTCTGCCTGCATTAGGCTATTGTTTTTATATAAACTTTTTTTTTCCATATGAACGCCAGTAATTGAACGTGAACCTCATTAAGAGTTTTTAAATTTAAATTTTTTTTAAGCCCTTTAAGAACCTATAAAATTATAAAGCATATTTATTTTAAAGCATTTCAAATTTACTGTTAAAAAAACAATAAAAAATAATTTTTCTCTTATCTAAATTTGTTATTTTAAGTTAAAAAATAAAAAGTAAAAAAAAAAACTTCTTATATTTTAATACTTTGGGTACACTGTGCACTACCACAATGCTAGAATTTAATCTATGTAATTTAACTTTTTCACTTCGCTGCACAATGGGACGCAGGGTGGCCAAAATTTATATGTTTTTTTTGGATTTTTAAATAGTAAATTCAAAAACTAAAGCATTTACTATTAAAAAGTTAAAAAAAAACTAAAAAGTTAGTTATGAAATGTTAATGTTTTACGTCAAAATATTTGAACAAAAAAGTGATTTAACTTTTATGAGTAATATTTCAATCAATTTATATGGAAATACATTTATTATTTTTCCAGACAAATATAAATCGATGGAAAGATCCTTGAAACTAGTTTTTGGATTTTAAGAAAAAATTATATACAATAGACCTTTTGCCAGATAACGACGTCATTATAACTACGCATTGCATTTTGGGATTGCCTGGGAGCAAACAAAAGTTAAATTCGTAAATATCCTGTTGTTTCCAATTAGTTTTTTAAAAGTTGACCATTATTATCTATTTGGTTTATAACTATTATTTTTTTTTATTTGCAACACTCTTATGTAATGGGTAAGAGCGATCATTGTGCAATTTTTGGTTGTAACAACGATCGTAGATACAAAGAAAAGTATGTTTTGAAAGATCATATTTATAAGACTTTTAGTTTCAGCGAATTAAAATTTTTTACTTATAAAGAGAAATATTTTCCACATGGAGTAAAATTATTAACAGAGAAATAGTCGATCCTTTAACAAAAAAAAAAAAGCTATATGCTGTAAATAAGAATACAAAAGTTTGTGCAAATCATTTTGAGTATGGGAAGCCAACTGAGCTATCCCCTCATCCAAAGTTATATTTGAAAGGATACGAAATATCTTCTCCTCAAAATAAAAGAAAATTACCAATTCCTCGATATACACCTACTACAGTTTCTAAAAAACATAAAAATACACATTTTTCAAGTACCTGTACCACTACTAGTAGCAGTAACAATAATGACAATATTCCCCAACAGTCTTCTCTGTCAATATCTCCTCCATGTCTATCATCAACAGCATCTAATCAGCAACTTTCTCCACAACAAATCGATTTAATTACTAACACACCAGCAACTTATCTAACACCAACAACACTTTATAAACAAAGTAGTCATAAAAGATTAACATGGGAGGCAGTGCGTTCTTTACCCAAAGTCATAAAATTGTATACTGAGTGTCCCACTGAAAATGTTTTTTTATATATTGTTAGTCGTGTTCAAGCTTAACATAAAAAAGTGTCTTATTTTATGGATTATAAACGTTCATTTGAACCAAAGCAATATCAGTTTAGTCCTGCTAGTAAACCTTCAAGTACAGGGAGACCTGGTCCAGCACGACAGCTTTTTGTTGAAGATGAAGTGTTACTTACTTTAATGCGTATTCGACTTGACTCACCATTACAAGATTTAGCATTTCGTTTTAAAATTTCAGTAAGTCATGTGTCTAGGATTTTTACTACATTTATAACTTTATTAGCCCGAGAACTTGAACCATTAATTTATTGGCCTGCTCCAGAAGAAACATTAAGTTTTACACATCCTCATTTTATTGGAGATTTCGTTTATGTTGAAGGTATTGGTGACTGTACTGAACAAACTATTCAAAAACCTGCTAATGCTAAAGCTCAATTTCAAACATATAGTTCTTATAAAAGTAGAAACACATTAAAAAAACTTATATTTTGTACTAAAGGCGGTTCTTTTGTTTCTAAAGGTTACTCTGGATCTTCCTCAGATCGTTTTATCACTGAAGATTGCAATGTTGCAAGAAGATTCACTCCTGGTTTTATTGCACTTTTTGATAAAGGTTTCAATGTTCAAGATTTATTTCTATCAAGGCAGGTAAAAGCTGTAATTCCACCATTTTTATGTAGTAAGCGACAGTTTACACCCTCTGAAGTGTATCATTGCAAGCGCATAGCACGTGCAAGAATACACATTGAACGTGTCATTGGAAGGCTGAAAGAATTTCGACTTCTAAAGAACACTCTGCCTATCACATTAGTCCCTCTAATCGATGATATATGGATAATTGCTGCTGCCATTGTTAACCTGCAACCACCTCTTGTAAAAGCAACAGCAGTATAAATTGTTGTTCTTTGATGTTATTTTTGAATGTTTTTTGAACTAGTTGTACCGTGTGCAGCCTGCAAAATCCTGGTTGTTACTTGGCGCTTCCCGGACCCTTCCTGAGACCTGTTCGAGAGTGGCAACCAACCACTGTTCATTTTTTTTTGAAAAAAAGAACAGTGGTCAGTTGCCACTCTCGGGCTGGTCCCAAAAAAGGCCCAGGAGTGTCGAGCTCTCACCTAGATTTTGCATGCTGTTTTGTTTGCTCTTTAAATTTTGGTTATTATTGTGCTATTTTATGGAATTTGGTTAATTTTTTGTTACATATTTGCATTTTAATATCTTTGCAGCCTGCAAAATTCTAATCATCACTTGGCACTCCCCAGACCCTTTTCAAGACTTGTTTGAGAGAGGCAACAAACCACTATTCATTTTTTTTAAAAAAGGAACAGTGGTTGATTGCTCCCCTTGAGCAGGTCCCAAAAATGGTCCGGGCATGTCAAGTTCTGACCTGAATTTTGCAGGCAGGTGTTTGCTCTTAAATTTATAGTTATTATTGTGCTATTTTATGAAATTTTGGTAATTTTTTATTTATATTGGCATTTTAATATCTATGCAGCATGCAAAATCCTGATCATGACTAGGCAACCTCTCAGACCTTTTCCAAGGCCCATTTGACAGAGACAACCAACTACTGCTCATTTTTTCTAAAAAAAGAACAGCAATTGGTTGCCCCCTTCGAGTAGGTCTTGAAAACGGTCCGGAGGTGCCGAGTTCTGACCAGGATTTTGCTCTTAAACTTTGGTTATTATTGTACTATTTTTTGAAGTTTGATTAATTTTTTATTTTATATTCCCATTTTAATATCTTTGCTTGCACAATTATGTATCATTAATTTTGAAAAACTGCAGTTTTATAGACAAAATAAGCTTTAATCTTCAGGTTATATTGTTACATAGATTTTCAGCTAAATTTGCCATTTGACAGCTGGTGTCAAATGGCAAATTTAGCATTTGACATCAATAGGATTTGACATCAATACAATGTACAATTTTATTACTTTTTATATATATTTTTAACAAACATTACTTTTTTTTATTTTTGCTTATTTGCCCGAGTATCTAACTTAGAATTTTCCGGATTTTAAAGAATATTTATATGATTGTCAGGGTTATTAGGGTATGTCAACTTTCATCTTTTTTTTAGTTTCTATATACGGTTTTTTATTCATTGTAAATATTATCTAAAGCAAGAAATTAATTTTAAATATATATCTATATTTAGTTACATTTTGTTACCAAGAACTTAGTATCAAGAACTTATATTTATTCCTAGTGACGGATGCTCGGTGTAGTAAAGGCACTCTTAAAAAATATTATAGGGTCTGTAAGATATTTTGTTGACTACGACATATTTCCGTTAAATGATCAGGTCTGTAAATTATGAATAGATTAAAGTGATATATTTCGCAGTATAATAAAATATAAATGTTTGTAGCGAAAAAACCCAGACCGAAAATTCTTTTTTTTTTTTTTAAATCATTTTAAAATCACAATCGCTCGTCCAAATTTGAATAAGATTTTAAATTAATACGTTTTTTAGGTGAAATGAACATTATAGTTTAACAATATAATTTGTTCTGGTCGTTAATTGGCAATTTTCTATAATTATAAGCTCTTTCTTGGTCGGAATTCTAGTATTTTTTGTTAAAATTTATAGAAATATTGTGTTTTGACAACTATATATAGTTAGTATACGTCAGAACCGATTAGAATTAGTAAATTGAGGACTTTTTTCAAAGGATTTTAACTAAATTCATGTTATTGCCGATAAGCAGAATGGATCTAAAGGCTCCAAAATAGTGTTCTTTAGATTCACTATTACTGGTAGTAAAAAGGTTTTGAAAATTATATTAAAAAAAAAGTTTCTTTAAATATTAGAAAATCTTAAGCAAAAAAAGTTAAACCGTCTAAAGTTTTTAAGCTAGTAAAGCTAATAATTGGACAATTGGAAAATAAAGCTATTAGAAGCTATTAAATAACTATTAGAAGCTATTAAAGAACTATTAGAAGCTATTAAATAAGCTATTAGAAGCTAATAAAATCACGCTAATTTCAAATAAAAGTATTCGAATAATTTGTAAATTGCCTTAACTACACCGAGTGTAGGAAGTTTGGGTGGGTGTGAACCCCACTTTTTTTATAAAAGACTTTTTTTTTTCTTTTTTAAAAATTTTGAGTCGGCACTATGCAGGTGCGATTGCACCTGCATAGTGCCGACTCAGCACTATGCAGGTGCAATGCGTTTTCAGCACTGCTGAGGACGCGTATGTCATGTCTTATTTCCCTGAATTTGACCTGTTTCCATGATTTAATTAAAAGTCAAAATATCAATTTCAAAAAAAAAGCACTTGATTTTTTTTTAGAAAAACGTTATGTTATTGCAACCAAATTTATAGGTCATAATAATTAAAAATAATAATAGGTCATCTGCCCACATTATGTACAAAATGATAGATGTCTAGCCGGCCAGACATCCGTCAGTCTTATCTATTTAGCTATTTCCCCTGAGATTACCTTGATTTTTCCTAAATTCAACCCAATTTCCCTGATAGTTCTTTTTTTTTTTTTTTTTTTTTTGCAGACATCTGAAATCCCTGACGTTTCCCTAATCCCTGCATGTGATAAAAGTGTCTAGGTATATAAAAGTTTAACAATGTCAAAGTTTGTATTAAAAAAAAAAAAATAAAGATATTATGCCAAGTAAAAAAATTCTAATTTATTAAACAATCACAGATATAAATTGACATTAAAAATAAATAAAAAACTTTTTAATAGTGTGCTGCTAATAATTATCACTGTTGTTGATATTCCTATATTGATAAATGGTAACACTCCTATAGAGTCTTCTACTTTACGCCTTTTTGGATTACTTTTTTGCAACCACCTCTTGTGGAAACTTTTTCTCTTGTGGAAACTAACTTTGGAATTCTTATAAAGAATTTCAAAGTTAGCATCGGCTAAGGTTGTTATTCATTAAAATGTGCTCACCATTTTCTCACTCCTGATTCCTTCAAATTTAATTGTCCCTGTATGGAATACTGTTGCCACATTTGGGCGAGTTCAAACTTAATTAACCATGTATGACATACTGTTGTCACATTTAGGCTAGTTCTTCTAATGATGCCCATTCTTTTAAACCACAAAACTTATTATAAATAAAGTTGGACCTGTTACTTTCTAAGCTTGACCCTGTGTCCCATGGTTGTAATATTGCATCTCTTTCTCTTTTTTAAAATACTATTGTTCCATGAACCAAATCTTTTTTTAATTTTGCGTGATTTTTCATTCAGCAAAGTCACTTGGTTTAAATATAGAAATAGTGTTATTGCAGCATCAGTATTCGTACAGAAAACATATAATTTTACAGTATCTATTTCTTCATGCTCTAAAAACTTTTATTTCTCTAGTTTTTTCTTTGCACAGTCTTCATTCAACCGCTTTCTCTTTGTTTTCTGAAACTCTTCACTGAAATAGTGGTGCTTACATTGTTGTTGGTAGTGAATTAGATTTAAAAAAATCAAACATGAAAATTTATAATTTTTGTTTATCATTAGTTAATTATTTAGTTTAAATTTTTTTTTTTTTAAATCATTTTATTTTATACTATTTATTTTGTTTTTTAAATATATTTATTTCTATTTTTTTTACAATTTGTTAAAGAAAAATATTAGATAAGTGGATAAGTGTTTTTTTCTAATTTATTATTGCTGTTTTTTAAGAACATTGAGCACTATTTGTAGAATAGAATAACATTATATATATATATATATATATATATATATATACATACATATTATTTTCTATTCTGTTTATTTTATATATATTACATATTTTTATTTTATTTTTAATTTTATTCTTTTTATTTTATTTTTTTCATTTAATTATTTTATATATATATATATATATATATATATATATATATATATATATATATATATATATACATATATATATATATATATATATATATATATATATATATATATATATATATATATACATATATATATATATATATATATATATATATATATATATATATATATATATATATATATATATATATATATATATATATACACATACATATTATTTTCTATTCTGTTTATTTTTTATATATTACATATTTTTATTTTATTTTTTATTTTATTCTTTTTATTTTATTTTTTTCATTTAATTATTTTATATATATATATATATATATATATATATATATATATATATATATATATATATATATACATATATATATATATATATATATATATATATATATATATATATATATATATACATATATATATATATATATATATATATATATATATATATATATATATATATACACATACATATTATTTTCTATTCTGTTTATTTTTTATATATTACATATTTTTATTTTATTTTTTATTTTATTCTTTTTATTTTATTTTTTTCATTTAATTATTTTATATATATATATATATATATATATATATATATATATATATATATATATATATATATATATATATATACATATATATATATATATATATATATATATATATACATATATATATATATATATATATATATATATATATATATATATATATATATATATATATACATACATATTATTTTCTATTCTGTTTATTTTTTATATATTACATATTTTTATTTTATTTTTTATTTTATTCTTTTTATTTTATTTTTTTCATTTAATTATTATATATATATATATATATATATATATATATATATATATATATATATATATATATATATATATATATATATATATATATATATATATATATATATATATACATACATATTATTTTCTATTCTGTTTATTTTATATATATTACATATTTTTATTTTATTTTTTTTATTTTATTTTTTTTATTTATTTATATTTTATTATATATATATATATATATATATATATATATATATATATATATATATATATATATATATTAATTTTATATAGTTTTCTACAGTTTTCTTTTACAAGATGGTTTGGACAGCATTTGGTAATTATCTGATTATTGTTTTAGTTGTAATGCTGCTGTATTTTGCTTTTCTACCTTTTCAACTTGTGAAACAAGGCATTGGATGACTTTAGTGCAGGTGTAGGTGGTTCTCACAAAATTTACGTCATATAAATATGGAAGCATAACATCGTTAAAATATGTAACTAATTTTGGTAGGCACTTTAATAAGAAATTTGGATCTTTAGCAATACGAAATGTGCAAGATTCTTTGGGTAAATAAATTTCAAAGTCACAATAATTGGCACCTGTAACAAATATTTGGTGCTGAACTTGGGTGTAATAAGGGTGATTAAGTTTGATTGCAAAACTTTCATTACTTTTTCCATTAAAACAAGAAGACATTGAAAAGTATTCTGAAATAGTTTTATCTCTTGCTGAAAAAGGACATTTGCATTCTAACAAACCAAATCCACAACAAGAACAATTTATAATTCTATCAGGACTTGCACCCAGAAATGGATACTCAGAACATATTGTCAAGCCTGCTATGTCACAACTAAAATTTTTATGTAAATTTTTGTTTTTTCTTACATAACGTTTGACAGCAAATTCTTCATTGCTTCGTCCCCATGATAGCGCACTACTGGAAATAGTTTTAATTTGTTCACAAATCTTTGCACATAAATTAAAAGAGAATGTTGGGTTTGTAATTGTTTGCCTATCACTAACTTTCTGAATTACCTCAAGGGATACTGATGATGTAATAACACCATTTCTATATTTAAACCAATTAATAGAATATGACTGGTCTGTTGTTATACTGCAAATTTTTTTTATATCAGAATTTGTTCGAAAGGTTTTTAATTTATCGTGAAACAAATTCATATCGGTTATACAAACTATTTCATCAATTGTTTTAGGATATTCTGTAGCAATTGTAAAATCAATATCTGACTTCTAAAAACTTGTTTTTTTAAACTGCAAAACACTTGCATTACCGTTGGTAGCTTTAGCAATATTCTCCCAGTCTTCAGTTGAATATGTGACATTAATGTCTGTTCGTGATCGAGGTTCATATAAGTTTCTACTTGGACCAGGTTCAACATCATCATTTTCAGGATGTGGTCGCCTAAAAATAACTGAATTTATTTCACATGGCTCATGTATTTTTTGGCGCTTTTCAACTCGTACATCCCATTGTTGTTTTTTGCCAGTACATGTTTTATTATGGCCTAACCTGACTTC